CTGCCAGCTCCCCTCAGTCTCCATTCCCAAACCTGCCAGCTCCCCTCAGCCCCCACACCCCCCAAACCCTGTCAGCCTCCCCAGACCCTCCCAGCCCCACACACCCCTCACGCCTGGCAGCCCCCAGCCGCCTCACCTCGCCCCTGAGGAGCCGCCCCGCTCCGGCGGGGCCTGCACGGGCGGTCCCGTCCCGGTGCCTGCGCTCGGCGGCAGCGCCGCTATGGCAACTGCCTGCGGGCCCGGAGCGGCCCCAGCGCGGCCGGGCGGGGCAGCGCCGCCCCCTGGCGGCCAGGAGGACTCCGCGGCGGCTCCGAGATCCGCGGGTTCGAGACCCGGCCCGGGCAAGAGGAGGAAGAGAAAGAGAGCCCGTCCTCGATGTTTAACGTGAAAAATGCATATTTTATCATTGGCTTTTCGCAAGTGTAAAAACGAATATTATATGCGTGATGTTAGAAAGTTGCGCTGTATTAATTCTCTTAAGTGGTGCGTTAAATATAGTTTTAGGTTATAACATAATGTTCAAATAGAAACTCTGCAGTGTAAGGGATCTTTTACTAGCTCGAGAAAAGGGGTATGAGAATCAAGAAACTCTTTGCACAGAGATAACAGCTTTGTGTGCCCTCTGCGACAGGGCACACAAAGAGTTACAGCCTCCTTATGGGAAAAGACAAGCATTCTTCCACCTTCTCTCTGTCTTTATGGAACCACCAGGGTTAAAGGCAAGAAGTTGACAAAAACCAAAAAAATTCTTAATTTGCAAGGCATATATGCATAATGTATGAATATATGAATGTGCAACAGGCTATTGCTTTTAAGGATTATTCCTTTGTTCACAGGGCATGCTTTTCGCAGCTTAGTGTCCAAAAACATCCAGACGTCTATAATTCTTTGCTTTTTATTGTCTCGTGATTGTCCTAATTCTAAATTTTTATTACTAAATTTTTATTACAATACTAATTGTATCACTATTTTTATAACCATTTTATTATTATTAAACTTTTAAAAATTCTAAAAACAAGTGATTGGCGTTTTTCACATTTAATCACCCTTTTCTTCCTCCTAATGTCTAACCTGAACTTTCCCTGGCACAGCTTGAAACTCCTGCCCTCTCATCCTGAGATAGATGGACACACATCCCACACAGACACACACACATCTGCACAATTTGTGTAAATTTACATTTATATGTGTATTTTATATGTATCAAGGGCAAATAAGCCCTTAGTGCCAAAAGACATCCCTGCTGTTTGTAGAGGTGCCCTGCCTGCCCTGGGGTGGGATTCGCTGCCCTGCTCCAAGCCTTTCCAGAGCTTTTCCAGCTGTTTTGGGCATTGGGAAGAGGCAGGGGGAAAAAAATGTCCTGAGCTTTGCATTACAGAGCTGCAGGAGTGTCTGCCTGGGCAGGGAGGGGAAAAGCTGAATGAGAATATTTAGGTCAGAAACTCCTTTAAGCCTGATTTTACTATGCAAATTTAGGGCAAATCAGCTTGAGCAGGAAGTCAGGTTTTTCCAGATGGGGTGAGAGATTGCCATGGCCTGAACTCTCCTGCTGTCCCCACAGTGACACCTTCCCTGCAGCAGCACAGCCCGGGGACCTCAGAGCACACCTGGGAGCAGAAAAGCTGCCACAAAACCCAGCCAGGCCCCAGATCACACCACCCTCCCCAAATGTTTCCCAAAAGGGAAAAAAAAAAATTCCCACAGCTGCAATTAGCTGAATGCCCAGGAGAGAAAATCCCCCCAGCCAGGATTATGGCAGTGAAAGCTGGGATGTGAAGCTCTAAGCAGCCCAGACTTCACACCATCACCTCTCCTGACAGACTAGCAGTGTCCCTGTGGAGTCACCACCCTGTGACTCCGTGGTGACCAAGTGCAAGGCTGGAATTTCTTCTGTCATTTCTCAGGGATCACAGCAAAGATGCACAATTGGTTGGTCTCGTGCTGACTCTAACAAGGGCTCAGAGCATCTCGTTCCTCCTCTCATCCTGCTGGTTAGGGGAACGAAACATCTGGAAATGAAATGTGTGTACCCCCACCCACAGCTCCAAGAGAGGAGCTAGCAAGGAATTAACTAACAAAAATTAGCTAATGAGGTAAATTTCTGCTTGTGAGTTCCAGCCACATCAGCACAGGTTTCCAGCAGACAGGAAAACCATCCTCCTCCTCACCCCAACCAAGCAGGCTGCAAACCCCAAAGCCAAACCTCCCCTCCTGAGCTTGGAGAGCCCAGAAATGCAAATAAATGCTCAACTTTAGAAAGTTTGCAGTAAAAAGTATGTATTTAATATGCCAAGCACAGCCTTAGAGGGCTCCAGCAGCTGTGATGCTGTGTCATTAGTTTAATGAGCATGCCCTAATTAGTCCTAGCCCCCAAATTCTCCATCAGCTCACCTGCCAAGGAGGTCTCTTAAACTGAGGGTATCTGAGACATCAGGGATCAAGAGGAAACTCCACATCCAAGCCTCCTCTCTCCTCAGGAGGTTGCCAAGAGCAGCTGGAAAGCACTGGAGCACGGGAAGATTATTTTAAACATCACCACATGCAACTGAATAGGTCCTTGAGCATCCAGCAGGGCCAGCTGGTGCCAGCAGGACCCATCTGCCTCAGCTGATCCAGATCAGAACCTCCATCAGTTATCAGCAAGCCTTTACACAGCCCAGCTGTGCCCCAAAAACACCAGCAGGTCCCCACAGGGCCTGGTGGTACTCTGGGGAGAAGGGAAGATCAGGCATCTCATTAAATCCCTGCTCATCAGCAGCCTGTCCCTCCCCAGTCCTGCTCCACATTTTAATTAAGTTCAGAGCAGCTGTCACTAATTGAATTCCAGCTCTCAACAGCCACAGCAATGTGCAACAGCTTTTTATTTCTTTTATTTCTGAACCAAGCCCACTGTGGGCCCAAGGATGATCAGAACTCCAGGAGGAGAGGGTAGGGAGCCATGAGGGAACTAAACCAGCACGGGGAGTTGTGGGGTTGTGCAGGGACAGGGCAGCTGATCCCAAACAACAATCCTGCAGCAGAGGGCAGAACTTGGCTGTCCTGCTGCCCTCACAGCCCAGCCACTGCAGGCACAGAGGGCTCCAGGGAACCCCACTCTGAGTTTTTCCATGGGGCAGAAGAACAAGAGATTTTTCTTTTTGCTCTTTCCCAGGGCTGCAGGACTCTCAGTAAAACCTTCGGTGTTTGCCTGCTTTTGTGCAGCTCTCTTGAACCTTGTGACATTTGCTTTTCCATGCCATCAGAGTCCCTGTGTGGGTGTCACCAGGCTTGGGTCCAGCACGTCACCATTTCCAATGTCCAGCTCCACCTGGATCCCTGTTGGCTGCCAGGAGAACAGAGCAAAGCTTATCCTCACACTGTTGGACTCTGCATCACTCCCTCTCCTGTCTGAGAGCCAAAAGTCCCAGTTAAATCCCCCCTGAGGATTTCCTGCTGCTGGTGCCCCTGTTTTAACTGGGTCTGCTGAATGCAGAGATACAAATAGACAATGCAATTTAGCAAAGAAAGAACATCTTGCTCTGAGACATCTCCAGACACACCATCATTTAGCACATCCAGGATGCATTTCACTGCCTAGCACACCACCATACCCAACTTTGTTTGGATCAAGCAGCAGAGCAGGCTCAGAGCCAGGAAGCTCAGGCAGTGCTGCCTGTGCACAGGCAGGCCTCAAGCTGAAGTCACCTTTGAAGGTGTCAGAGCCATTTCCACAGGACCCTCACTGCCCACACACCATCAGGAGAGTGAAACCAACACCAGGAACACAGTGACCTGGATTGGAAGTGGTGCCACTCATTTATCCTGCCTATAAACACCAGCCCAGGCTGCTGGGAACAGATGCTCTTCTGTTCTCTTCTCTTCTGCAGCATCCAGCCAGGCTGCACAAGCTGCTCTCCCACTGCCAGGCTGGGTCCTGCCCCACTCCCACAGAGCCAGGGCCAACCCCACAGCTGCTCCTGCACTCCCAAGGGGTGGCTCCAGGCAGCCTCACCTGCCGGGGTGACTTTGCCAGGGAAGCAGCACGCCGTGTGCTGCATTTCTCCCACGTGGCCTCTTTGCTCTCCAGCAGCACCCGGGTGCTGGGCACGAAACTCCAGGAGCGGCCCAGGGCTGGCTTCAGTGGGGCAGTGCTGCTGTCCCTTGTCACCTGGTTGGTCACCTGCAGCACAAACAGACTTGGCAGTGCCTGGGATACGCAGTGCCACTCGGGGTAGTGACACAGTGGAGGTCACCAAGAAATCCTGGCCAGGCTGCTACTTCTAGGAAGGTTTTTCCTTCTCCTTCAGCTCCTCTGCCATCCCCTCTGAGCACAGCCCAGATAACTGACCCAGAGCAGTGCTCAGGGAGTTCTCTGCTATCTGCAAGCTGCATCACTCCTGCTGCTGAAGTCACCACAAAGTTTAACTTGGTGCCTCCAAGTGTCCTTCCAGACACGCTGTCCTTGTCCCTTTATCAGAATGAAAGGCAGATCTGTTCAGCAGAGCACCATGCTCTGGTGTGGCCTTCCCTGTTCAGACACATTAATTGTGGTCCCAGCCACATGTCTGGTGCATTGGCCAAGAGCTGGGGAAGGCTAGAGCAGGGCCCTTTGCAGCCCCTGTGGGATGATGCAATGCCCTGCAGCTCCTGCAAGGTGACCAAGAGGTTACCCAGGAAGCTGGCCAGCCCCTTAAATGAATGATGTCATCAAAAATAAACATAGCCAGCCTTTCAACCTGCCTGTACTTAACTCTGCCTTGCTCAACCCAGTGATTGGCTGAGGACAGCAAGAGCAGGAGGCAGCACATCAGCCCAGGTCCTGCCCCATGCTTGGAATAAGACATCTGCAGGATGCAGAGATGTCAGGGAGCAAGTACTGGGGGGTTCAGGCCTCTGGCTCCCTCTCCCACAGGCTCCAGAGCCTCCCCATGGCTCCTTGCCACACTCCAGCACACGAAGGACAAAGCACAGCAACACTCACCACAACAGCAAGGCTGAACTCCCTGGCCAAGGTCTTCAGCTCCCTGGAGAGCTGCATCATGAGGGCCAAACCTGGAGCAGGACAAAGCATTTGGCTGTCTGGTGACCAGCCCCCAGAGTGAACCCTGCAAGCAGCTGGATTTGCGTGAGCACTGGATTCAGGGTCAGCACTTGTGTTCATGGACACTTTCACTGGACCATTCCCCATCCTTTCCTATCTTAGAAGGCCCAAGGTCAAAAAAATCCTACAGAAGCATCAGGAACTCCAGACAAAGCTGGCCAGTTGATTTAGCAGGCACAGGACTCATCTCTCCAGCTCACAGCTGCATTTCCTACAGCCCACAGCTGTGAGGGGACCTCCTGTGATAGCACTGGCTACCACCCAGCTGTGCAAGACCCTCTGGAAGGTGTTTGAGGGGGGCTCCTTGGCATCCTCACTTCTGATTTATGGTCCTTTCTGACATAAAGGGACACAGAGGAGCTCTGCAAACTGTGCCATGATATATTTCTGTCACTGTTAAGTTTTAATTTGTGGGCAGAGTCCAGTGCCTCCCTGGATGAGTTTTAGACCATTGCCACAAGCAGCCACAGCCAGCTGAAGTGTTTGCTGCTAACACTGCAACAGGCCCCCCCCTTTTATCCAGTCCCAAGGGAAAAGCTGGGAGCAGTCACATCCACATCTACCCTGTTCCAATCCCCATTCCAGGAGCAGCTCCCACAGTGAGCAGCTCACCCTCTGACTGCCTGCCACCCAGCAGAGGGTAAATCACAGCCGACACCGAGTCCAGAACCACCACCTTGAGAGGTCCCATGGAGCTCACGACCTGCAAGGAGGCACCAGGTGCAACGTGGAGTCACAAATCCAGCAGCTCTGGAGGCTGTGAGCTGCACAGAGGCTCCGACATCCCCAGGATGAGGCAATCTGGAGTCACCTGTCAGGCACACACAAGCCCTGCTGCCCTCCCTGCAGCTCTGGGGAGGGGAGAGGGGCCCCAAGGCTCACTCCTACCTGCTGGGAGAGGCGATCCCGCAGCTCCTGCAAGGCACGCAGCACCTCGTAGATGTTGAACACACGTTCTACCCTGACCCGCTGCAGGGCCTCCAGCTGCAGCACAAAACACAGCCTCAGTCCCCCCAGGATTTGGCCTATTCCTCCTGCCCCAGCTGCCCCAAGCTCTCTGCACTCACACCATGCCACATTCCTCCACATTTGCCTCCACCCCATTAGCACCATTGCCCCCATGGCACTGATGGAAAAGCAACATGTACTGAGCTCAGGGAGCAAAGTCCTGCGAGTCCTGTAAGTCCTTCCCTTCTCCCAAGAAAAACAACAAAGAGCAGAGTCTGTCCTGAGCATGGCACCCACTGGGCCATGGAAGGAAGGGTTTGGACTCAAAAAAGCCCATGAGGACAAAGGCAGAGCTGGAAAGACAAACCATCTCTGGGGTTTCTTGCAGGCAAAAGCAAAGTGAGTTTCAGAGCAAGCAGAGGAACCAGCTCCAGGGGAACTTGCCTGTTCTTCCTCATCCTCTGTCTGGGCTTGGAGCATCTGGTAGAGACGGGAGGCAGTGAAACCCCCCGTGGAGTCGAGAAACAAAACATGCTGCTTGAGCCCCAGGGACACACTGGCTGCAATGCCCAGGCACACCTGGGGGAACAGGGACAGGGTGTCAGCCAGCCTCACGTGTCCCTCTGTGGGACATCTTCACCCTACCTGTCCTCTCCTCTGTCCTCCACCCCGCTCACCTGCGTCTTCCCAGTGCCTGGTGCTCCCATGAGCTCCATCACTTCCCCTGTGTACAGCCCCGAGTCCAGCAGCTGGTCCAGGCTGTGGGATGGACACAAGGTGGGATTACCAACACCCCTTCAGCCAGAATGGCAGGAGCATCAGGAGGCAGCAGTCCCCAGATATTTGTCCTCAAAGTCGCCTTCCCAAATGCACATAGGTGCACGGGGATGGTTTGGAGAACAAAATTCAAAGCTTGTGCTGGCAACCACAGCCTTGTGCAGCAAACCCAGCCCCAGACAGAGCTGGTGGGTGGGTGAGGTCCCCACCTTGAGCTGCCAGTGGGCAGGATGGCAGTGGAGCTCTTGAGCTCCTCGTAGAGGTCTGCTCCGTTGGCAGGGAAGGCAGAGAACTGGGCCAGGAGCACACGTCTGACTGCGACCAGCGCCTGGGGGCAGAGGGATGTCTGGAAATGGGACTGATCAACAGCCAGCAAGTGCTCCAGAAGGGCTCCCAGACAAGCCCATCCTTGTCCATGAGCCAAACAGCTCTGAGCTCCCTGGTTTATGTACCAGGAGTGAGGAGTAGTCCCTTCTACCTTGTAAGACAGGGAACACTTTTGGGCAACATCCTCCAGGTCTGATGACACGAAGTCCACCACTGCAAATAACATAAGGGACAAGAGGTTGGAAGCCAAACATGGTCAGACCACAAACACCAGAAGACAACCAGCTTAGACAAAACCTGCACCAACAAGCAAAGAGGCTGTGCCCTCTGTCAACACTGTGAGTGGAGGAGTTTTTCCTCTGAGATGGCCCCATCACTCATCACAAAATAAATTGTTTCTTGTGAAACAGAGCAGAGAGAGAAGCTGGTAAAAATTGTCCCCGTTTTGCTCAAGAGCTGCCCAGCACCTTTTCTTTCTCCTCTAAGGGCAGGAGGTGCCCAGGGTACAGCATTCCAAGAAGTTGGGCATTTTTCAGAGGAAAAACTGCACAAACCCTCCTGAAATACCACAAAAAAAAGCCACAAATTATCACTCCTCAAAGAGCCTCTGCAGGTATCTCTTACCACGTCCTTACACTCTCCTGCTCCTTTGAATAAGTCCTCACTCACAGTATCCACCCAGGAGGACCCAGAAGAAATCCAGCAAGGAGGACACAGAAGGATATTCCACCACCACCCTCCCAGGATGTGGGAGGACACAGGTCCACCAAATGCACGGGGGATGATGTTCCCCAAGCCGAGACCCCGATGCCACGCTGTTACCTGTCCTGATGCCATTGGCGCTGAGAAGCTGGATCATGTCTTCAGAGAGACCAGGGCAGAGCCCAGCCCGCAGGACCACCATCGCCACCGGGAGGGAGAAGAGCAGAGACCTGCGGAGGAGAGGGGGAGTGGGATTCATGGAATCATTAAGGCTGGAAAAGACATCCAAGATCATCAACTCCAACCCTGCACCGCCAGGTCCAACACTGAGCCACGGATGGCGCCTGCCCCTGAAGCCGGGGAGAAGCCACCCAAGCTGTGTTTGGGATGGGTGGTTACGGTGGGTAATTAATTCTTCTTTGGGGCCAAACAGCCCAAAATCCTGCACGGGGCTGGGAGCAGGGAAGCACAGCAGGCGGGGAGGCTCCATCCCGGGACAAGAGGACCGTCCATCCCGAGCCGCCTCCATCCCGAGCCGCCTCCATCCCGAGCCGCCTCCATCGGAGCCCCACGGAGCTTACCCGGCCCGGGCTCCCCGCAGCCCTGCCCGCTCCTTCCTGCTTCCTGCCGCCGGCGGAAAGGCCGGGGCCGCTCCTTTTCCCGTGCCGGTTCTCCCATCCCGCCGGGGTTCCCTTCCTTGTCCCGGCTCTCCCATCCCGCCGGGGTTCCCTTCCTTGTCCCGGTGCTCCCATCCCGCCGGGGTTTCTCTTCCTTGTCCCGGCTCTCCCATCTCACCGGGGTTTCCTTTTCCCAGCCCGGCTCTTCCATCCCGCCGATGTTCCCTTCCTTGTCCCGGTTCTCCCATCCCGCCGGGGTTTCTGTTCCTTGTCCCGGCTCTCCCATCCCGCCGGGGTTTCCTTTTCCCAGCCCGGTTGTGCCATCCCGCTAGGGTTTGTCTTCCTTGTCCCGGCTCTCCCGTTTCGCTAGAGTTTCCTTTCCCCGTCCCGTTTCTCCCATCCCGCTCCGGTTCCCTTTCCCCATCCCGACTCTCCCATCCCGCTGGGGTTTCCTTTTTCCTTTCCCCGTCCCAGCTCTCCCATTCCGCTAAGGTTGTCTTTTCCCATCCAGGCTCTCCCATCCCGCCGGGGTTTCCTTTCCCCGGCCCGGCTCTCCCATCCCACCGGGGTTTCCTTTTCCCATCCAGGCTCTCCCATCCCGCCGGGGTTTCTGTTCCTTGTCCCGGCTCTCCCATCCCGCCGGGGTTCCCTTTCCCCGGCCCGGCTGTCCCACCCCGCTCCGGTTCCCCTGCTCTCGCCGGGATCAGCACAGCGCTAAGGTCCCTTGCCACCCAAACCATGCTGACTCTGTGACACTCCCGGGACTGGCTTTGTCCCGGCTCATCAGGCAGTGCTGCTCGCTGGGAAATGAAGGCGAACGAAGGGCTGGGGACTTTGCTGCCATACAGGTGTTGGGAGCTATGTGTCCCTCCCTGGCTGCCCTGGAGGCTTGAATTTCTCCTGGGAAAACTATTTTTGGGGGTATTTATTATAATTATGTTTTTCCTTCCAGCCGAGGCCTGAAGAGGGCTCTCGGCACTCGCTGCTGAGCCTGCCCTGCAGTCCCAGCTCTGCCTCGAGCAGCGGCTGCACCCAACATTTGATTTTGTAACTCGGTTTGCCTGCAGTGCTGCCGCTTGTGGCCATGCCGCTTGTGGCAATGGAGCTGTACTCTGGCTGACGTGAGAAAGGCCAGTACCTAAAGCCATGTTGGAAGGAGTTTCTGGTGTGTTAATCCAAATGAATGCTGGAAAAGCCACTGCACTGAGTCTGTCCAGGGCAGGGATGGCATCTTACACTTTCCACAGATGTTGTCCTTGTACCTTGGACCTGTTCTCCAACAGGTATAGATGTGGGAGCTGCTCTTGATGAAGCTGCCTGCAGTTGTGGTTGATGCTTTGCTGTGAAAGGATTTACAAATGGATTTGGAATCGCCTCCTGCCTGTACACCAGGGACCAGGCAGTGCTGCTGGTGTGGGGTGAATAAAACAGGAGGCCTGGACAGGGAAGTTCTGTGCTAATTCTTTCTGCATAAGAGCCACAAGCCATAACACAGATAACACAATTAAAGACAATGATATTTTTGCTCGTGGCAGTGTCTGGATCAGCCCATGCTCTCCTCAGTCATTTCCCCATCCTGGCAGTCCCCACTTTGCTTTATAGCTGGGATGCTGGCAGGTGAAGGCAAGGCCTGTGTTTAGGGGAAGATAAATCAAAAAGCAGAATTCCTGGGGAACAGAGTGGGTTGAAAGGTTCAGCTCTCTTGGAGTTCAGTGCTGCTGTCTCCTGGTGCCACTCAAATTGAGCCACTCCTCACAGCACTTCCAGTATGTTCCAGCCCAGTCCTCTGTGTTAGCCCACCTCAAGTGTGGCTGAATGACCACGTGTGGGGTGGGTGGCAGCACCAGACTGGGGTGGGATTTCCAGTGGGATGGGCTCCCAAATGCCCTGCAAGGAGGAGGAGGAGGAGGCAGCGCTGGGTGTCAGTCAGCTTTCCATCCCAGGGAATTCTGGAAGGTGCTGGGCACTGCTGCAGCTGCTGGCCTGGGGCCACTTGTCCCTGAGGCTCAGCTGTCTCATGCTTCCCTAAATAGAATGGGAAAAGGGTCTGAGCACTGTGACAGGGGTCAGCCATCCCAGCCGTGGGTTTTTTTGGCGTGAACCTCCCCCTTCCTGCTCCCCACACCCTTTGCAGCTCTGCAGGCAGAGGGGAGCTGGGATTTGCCCTGGCAGGTGGGAGAGGATTCCCTCTTGCTGCAGAGGGGTGCTGCCTGCTTGCAGCCAGGTGCCCCCCGAGCTGGCCCTGGCTCCCAGCCCTCCTCAGGCGTATAAAGCACGAGGGGACAAGGAGGGGACAGGCTGTGGTGACAAGTGACACTGACAGGCAGCAGGAGCTGCCAGGTCCTGCCCAAACTTGGAGTGGGAAGTGAGCTCTGTCCTGAGCCACACAGACTCTCCGTAGTGCTGGCAGATTTCTTTAATTCCTTTTTTTGTTGTTGTTTTTCTTTCTTTCTTTCTTTCTTTCTTTCTTTTTTAATTTACTTCTAAGGATTTATATTGGTGGAAAAAGCTTCTGAGAAGTCACAGCCTTGAGGAGCAATTTAGGTCTTCATTTTCAAAACTCTTTGGCTTGGTAAGCTGCTTTTATTAATGTGTGTTAATTATGTGTCAGTCTCATGGTGGAACTCAGCTTGGGGGATTAGCAGGCAACCCAGGCAAATGGGACACAAATGGATGTTTTTTCCTTCAAGCTCTCCAGATGGAGGATCCCATTCAGCTGAAAGAGGAGGGCAATAAATATTTTCAGGCCAATGATTATGAGAAAGCCCTTCAAAGCTACACTCAAGCCATAAAGCTCAACAAGGACAAGGCTCTGCAGGCGGTGCTGTACAGGAACAGGGCAGCCTGTTTCCTCAAAAAGGTGAGAAAAGCTCCCCTCACCTGGGCAGTGCTCAAGGGGAGAAGAGCAGGAGGGCAGCCAAGGGCACTCACTGGCTGTGGACTGGGTGGTTTGTCCATTTATTGAATAGGGTGTTTCCAGCTGGTCTGAAATGAAATGTTCTGGGCTTGTGCTGGAGCTTCACTGGGGTGTCCCCCTGGGAAATGGGAACAGAGAGGTCCCAATGCCCATCAGCAATGGGGACATGCCCTGCTATTGCATGGCTAACAAATCTCTCCTTTCTGGTTTAACAGGAGGAATATGCCAAGGCAGCCTCGGATGCATCTAGAGGTAAGGAGGGGGTTGTTATGAGGAGAGCTGGATCCATTTCCTCAGCCTGCTCTCACATCTGCTTTTGGGACATTGTGGCCTTATTCCTTGATGTCCACTAACAGCCAAGTGCTGAGGCCACAAGGGAATTCCTGGAAGTTCAAATGATGTTCTGATTTGGTGTGCTGGTGCAATCAGTGCTAATGAGGCACTGATTGATGCTAATAACAAAGCAAATCACAGTTTGCACAGGCCATTTCCAAGCAACAAGCTCTGATGCCTGGTGTTTTGGATCCCTTTCCCAGCTATTGACATCAATGCTTCAGATATCAAAGCCTTGTACCGGCGCAGCCAAGCCCTGGAAAAACTGGGGAAGTTAGACCAAGCATTCAAAGATGCTCAGAAATGTGCCACCCTCGAACCCCGCAACAAAAACTTCCAGGAGACCCTGAGGAGACTGGGGGCCAACATCCAGGAGAAGGTAAATGCCAGGGGAACAGTGCTGGATTCACAGACCAGGGGTGGGAAATCCTTGCTCTGGGTTGCATCAATGGGTTGTTGGTCATACTGGAAACTCGTGGCCAATATAAGGTGATAAATAGGCTCCATTGACTGGAAGTTCATAATTGATGTGTGTAAATCTGAGGATTGGGTTGATTGGTTAAATTTAAAAGTGTGGCAACTCTCTCCTGAGGCTGGCCTGGTTCTGAGTGTCTTGCAAAGGTCTTGGCAAGGGTCTGGACCAACTTTGGGCTGGGTCTGGCAGTTGCCACATTGCTAGAGTTGCCTTTAGAGGGGCGCTGTGAAGAAATCCTTGCATCGCTACCTACTGTGAAGTCTCAGAAATTAAGCCTTAGGGCTGGCTCTGCCTGTGCCCCTGAGATGGGTAATGGATACTGATTGCTGAGAAATTCTATCTCCTGTTATTCAGCTTAAATTGCCTGTGGTTTGAGGGCAGGGAGTATTCTTGAAGTGAAAAAGGAAAGCTGCTCCTCGATTTTCTCCTCCTGATGCTCTGTGCTCTCTCTCTTGGCACAGCTGCGCATTCAGTTCTCCACGGACTCGAGGGTGCAGAAGATGTTTGAGATCCTGCTGGATGAGAACAGCGACAAAGAAAAGCGAGAAAAGGTGAGAACTGCCCTGGACTTGGCAAAATGGGCTGTTTGATGGCAGAGGCTGCTCCAGGGAGCAGAGCCCTGCATTCTCTTCCCCACCTCCCTTGGATGGAGGTTGAGGGAAGGAGCTGGAAGGAGAACTGCACTCAGAAAGAGGGAAAAATCACCCCTGTGCCAAGGGAAGGTGGCCCAACCTCCAAAAATACCAAAGGTGGGATCAGCCTGGACTTCTGCTCAGGTCCTGCCATTCTCCAGGTATTCCCTCCAAGCAGTGACCCACTCTCCTTGTGCAGAGCAGAGCCAATCCCTAAATGCACCTGTCTGGTGGAGTCGGAGCTGATCTGCTGCATCTGTCAGGAGATGGTTCCCACCAGGATCTCCCAGAGCTGCATGGGGATGTTCTGGAGGCTGGGCTGTGCCACTGACCCCTGGTTCTTCTGCCTCCCACCTAGGCTGCAAACAACCTCATAGTCCTGGGGCGGGAGGAAGCAGGTGCCGAGAGGATTTTCCAGAATAATGGGGTCAACTTGCTGCTGCAGCTGATAGAAACCAAAAATCCTGAGCTGATCCTGGCAGCTGTGAGGACACTTTCAGGAATGTGCACAGGACATAAGGCTCGGGTAAGGACAGGGTGCTTGGACCTTCACTGCTATTGCCTTTTGCACCTGGGGAGGGGGGAATTAAAATAGTTTGTGTTGTTTGTGAGCAGTGGGAGAAGATTAAAACTCTGAC